TTTGAGACTCTAGCTCAATGGTGAATGCATATTTTGCACAATAAAATGCTATGATTAGAGTTATCTTAACCAGAGGAATTCAGGAAACTATTTGATTTTTTAAAATAGCTTAAGTTGGTTTAATATCGAAGGCTAAAGTTTTGTTTGAGAGACTCACATAAAACTGTGCTTGTCTTAGCCCATATATGGCAAGTCTTGTCATATAAAAAGTGAAAGTGGAAAAATTATATTTTGCACTTGGATTGAGACACACCTCAAACTGCCAACAGATAGGAGATTTTGACCACAAGATCACCCACAGGTAAGTGTTTATCCAAATAATTCTTGAAAATACAATTTTCTTATAGAAAAACTGTACCATGGTTTTGGTAAAGAAAATGTTAAGACTTTTTGGGTGTTTCCAATTATGCAAGGAGCCAGTGCTTTTTCTCTTCTATATTCATATAAAATATTTGACTCTTATATATTATACAGATTACTTTTAGATCTTCATGTTTATATAGGAATTATGGCTGTTTAATCACCGTCCAACAAAACTATAGCACAGTGGGAACATTTTGAAGTTCTTGGCTACATGATGTCATTATTCAGTAAGTCAAACTGAAAGTAAAAACAACATCTACTGCTTCATCCAAGGGAACTTTCAAAGCTCTGTAGTTGATTTTTTAATTTTAAATACATTGGCTCACAAACAGATATATAAGTGTATAAGTGCAGTCATATATTCAAGGACAGAGAGACAGAAAGACAGACAGACAGACAGACAGACAGACAGAGGCTCACTTTTCCTATTCTAACTAATCTAGAACAAAAATCAATAGGTAAACCCATCAGTCTTATGGTAGAGATAAACATAATAGATGCAACTACAGCAACTGTAGCTGAACACTGTCCAATTTCAGCTGAATACAAATGCATACCACACATTTCAGATTTTGATAGGTTAACATTTTTTTCCCCCTGAAATTTGTTTGCAACTTAGCAAAAAGTGAAAAAGTTCAGAGAAGTATGAATAATTCATCAAGACATATATATTTGTTTTTATCTGGCAACTTTAATGGATGTAGAATTGTAAATCACATCTAAAATCACCCGATAAGCTGCAAGTGAGAACAAATGATTGAAAGTCTATTTTTATTATGTGTCTTTGTCCAGCCCATCCTCTATCATGCCTCCAGTCATATCCAGCCTGTCCAAACACCAGGAGAAACAGCTCATGTCTCTCTTCGGTCATGTCCGACTCCACCTTCTTTACAAAGCCACCATTCACGGTTTCACTGCTGCTGCCTTCCATGGCCACTGTGACAGACAGGGTCCAACTGTCATTGTGGCCTACAACGCTGCAGGGTTTGTCTTTGGGGCATACACATCCAAGGACTACACCCAGAGTGGCGCTGCTGTCATTGATGGAGAGGCTTTCCTTTACAGCATCAATGATGGGAGAAAAGAACCCCTGAGAGTTGGGGGTATCAGTGGGCAGCATGCTTTCACAGATGAAGGCTCTGGTCCAAATTATGGTGCCTTGGTTTTCTTGCATGAGGACAAGTCGGCCGTGCAGTCCAATCCAGGAAGTTGCTTCAACTTCAAACCAGAAGAGATGCATGGGACTGACTTAAAGCTGACAGAGTTTGAGGTGTATCGAGTTGAAGGTCTGTGAAAGAACCATAACCATTTTTAAAAAACAAGTGTCTCTAATAATACAACACATTGTTATTAACTTATATCTATTATTAAGTGTGTGAGTAGAAATAATAGTGTTTGTATACAATAAAGGTCAAGCTATCTTGGCATTATACATGGAGTCAAATCAGTGGTTTAATATGTTTATTTTCCGCAACTATAGGTCTAGATGTCCTGGAGAAGCCTTGGAGAAATATCCAGTGGACAGCTGAGTATGTGCGGTTCCAAGACCGCTTTTTACATACAGATCCCATTCTGTGGTTTTCCAATGTTCTGAGGTCCTTGAGTAAAGAGAAAAACACAATAGCAGCTGAGTTAAAAACAGATCAATTGTCACAGGGAAGAGAAAATAACTTTGGAGTACTCCAAAAGTTGTTTTAGTTTTTACACTGTTTCACTGAGTGGTAGCCAGTAGCTGCCAGTGAAGTCAGGAGTAGCTTTTTTAAATCCCCGATAAGATATATTTTTATGATGTGTAGGAAAAAGCAACAACTGATGAAAAGCATCCAGAACTATCAGCCTGAAATCCAAACGGTGAATCAAGCCTGTGTGTTGCTGGTGGGCCCTGTTGGGGCCGGCAAATCAAGCTTTTTCAACTCCATCAACTCGGCATTTCGAGGCAACATGACGTGCCAGGCCATCACTGGTACAGCAGGAACTAGTGTGACCACGCAGGTACTAGATGCTCACTATTAGATTGTCCTCTGAGCTTCAAAAAAAAAAAAAAGAAATGTGCAGCATTATCAGTTAAATATAAATGCGTTGCACCACTTGCAACTTAACAAAGATGGTTGATAAATCATTTATTTTTATCCGGATTCCAATATCCATCATGCAACCTATTATTGTACTCTTCTTCCCTTTGTAGTATCGTGCCTACACTATTAAGGCAGGAAGACGTGGAGGAAATCTTCCACTGGTCCTCTGTGACACAATGGGCCTGGAGGAAAACCCTGAGTCTGGTTTGAACATTGATGATGTAGTCAGCATCTTCAAGGGACACATGGTGGATCGCTACCAGGTCTTTAAATACATGCGTGCTTTGGTGTGACAATACGCTTGACTCTTATAATTTACTGCAATAATTTAAGTTATTTATTTGTTTGTTCACTATAGTTTAGTACCAGTTCATCAATCCTAGAGGATTCTCCAGGCTACAAGAAACACGTGAATCTGAGTGACAGGATTCATTGTTTGGCCTATGTGATCGATAGCTGCAAGGTGGCTCTTCTCAGCCAGAAAATGGTGGACAAGTTCTCTGCTATCCGGAAAAAAGCCAACCAGCTTGGTATGTGGGAATTTTCTATGGATACAAAAGATAACTGTGTGTCATGAGCTCAGAATGTAGGACTCATAATTTGAGGTGAGAAAGACAGTGGGAAAGTTCAAAGCATTTATTAAAGACAAACAGACGCATGGAGCTGTGGATCTTTGGATCATTGGCACTCTGGTTTGGGAGAAACACAGGTAAGTGACCATTGTAATCTGACAGAAGAGGATTATCCATGAGGGTCACTTAACTGGTTTAACAGTTCAGTACAACTTCTCGGAGTGAGTTCAGAACAGGATGGCTCTGAGATCCAGGAGTCCGTAGCCCGTCAGGGGTTCTGATCAGAACAGGAACAGGTAGATCCAGGGTTCCAGGAATCCACAGAGAGTTCTGGCAGATTCAGGGTTCCAAGAGATAGGCTCAGTAGTTGAGAGGCAGAACAAGACATGAGTTCAAGAAAACTATGGAATTTTAAACTACCGTAGCTCCATCCACTGAGCCAAAACAGGATCAGGGCAGGATCAGTGGATAAGAGACAGGACATGATCAGGAAACACTAAGACATTAAAACATTAAAAACCCTCTTACACCACTGGCCTCCGAGAATGAGAGCATGAACTATGGAAATCAGCCATTATCTCCAACTCAAACTAACAAACAATGATCTGACCCCTATAGCTGGGCTGAGCGGTCTATAAAGCAGCAGGAACAGGTGGAAAAGATGAAGGACAATTAGTAATCAGGCAGAGTTAGGCAGGTGAGAGAAATGAGCAATTAGGTCAGCTATCAGGGCAGTGATCATGGTATTGCATTATATAATTTTTTTGATGTTTTACAGCACTAGTTGCTTGTTTTTTGGACAGTAGGCTGACAGGAAATGGGTTATGAGAGAGGGTGAGAGACAGGTGGCAAATGACCACAGGTCGAATTCCAACCGGGGTCGTCAGAGTCGAGGACTAAGGCCTCCGTACATGGGTCGCGCATGCTAACCACTGTGCCACCAGGTGTACTCATACAGTACCTTTTGAACCTTGGCACACATTTTCATGTTAGAACTGCAAATGTCAGTTTATTTTAATTAGATGCCATGTGAATGACAACACGTCTGTCTGTGAAGTGCAGACATGTAAAGTAAAGATATGACTGGAAAAGATATTGAAAATAAACTTTTTTTAAAGTTTAACTTACACATAGGTTGAATACATGTACTGATTACAATCTCTTGATTTTGTTTTCTGAAAGGCATCCCCCAGGTTTTGTTGATGACCAAAGTGGATGAAGCCTGTCCGCTTGTGGCAAAAGACATAAGCAATGTGTATCACAGCGTTTACATCCAGAAGAAGGTTGACACCTTGAACAGAAATTCACGACTACAATGAAGCTTCTTGCAATTTCAATTAATCTATAAATGTTGTCTCAACTTTTCAGGCCCGGCAGTTAAGTGAGTCCTTGGGTATCCCCTTGTCCTATGTTATGCCAGTGAAAAACTACAGCGAAGAGCTGGAACTGGATCAGAACACCGACATACTGCTGTTTATGGCCTTGGAGCAAATGCTTAACTATGCAGACAGCTATTTTGAAAACCAGATCGTAGAAGATCGGCCTGAAAACAGCAGGCCAGAGCTCTACAGATCCAGTGATCATCCTCGCCAATTTTTGACAGAACGTGATGATCCTAAAATTGTATAAAAAGTATTGGTATTTCTAAGAGTTACAGTATTGTGCAAATGTTAGGATCACTCATGCTCTAATTGACGCTGGAGGTTTCTCCTGGACACGATAAAGGGTATTGCTGCAAAGGCAATCTAACTTGGCTGACTTTGAATACTTTAATCAGTTTGTATTGTGATCTGAGTTTTTTAGTATGATTAGATTATATAAAATTAATATGTTCACACTTTTTTGGTCTAATAATTTGTGTAATATAAAAAGAAATATACTAATCAAACTTAAATTCTCTATTTAAATGTACTAAAGACAAAATGTCTTCCATTGCAGCAACGTGATAAGACATACAGAAGCATTATGAAACACTTGCATAATACTGTATCATAATGAAATAATCCATCAGGTTTCTTTAAAGCTGTCCTTCGAGAACATCCCAACCCCCAAAACATACTAGCACACCTGGTTGATTTCTATTAGATTTTTTCTTAAACACAAAGTTTTGCATTACATTTATTTCAAGTATCAGGGAATGCTCTAACCATCCCTTTAATTAAATGCTTATTAATTGTTCATCAACCTGCAAGAATATTACAGAGCTTTGGATTTTCTGTCTTTAAAATGTCAGTTGCATTAAGATTTAACTGAACTTATCTTAAAAAATAAGTTTGATTTGTTTTTTTGTTTTTTTACTTCTTTTGCTTTTCAAATAAAACTGTTGAAGTACAATGATTAATTCTTTTGGCAAAAATGTTTGGATTAATGATGCTATGTCTTTCCTACATTGTGCTATTTTTAAAAAGGAGATGATTGTTTTTTCTTTGGTTATTATTATCAAATCACACATATGCCCTCTTTTATGATTGACTACCAAGTAATATTCTTATCAGCTATAATAAAGTTCATGATTCTTTCATTTTAACATTACGGAAATCAATCTATCTAATGAATTTTTACGTGGTTAAAAGTGAACTGTTTAGAATGATTCGAAACTAACAATAACAATTTGAGCAAATAAAAAAAAAAACAAATCTTACTGAAATATTTTATATAAAAGAAAACTGCTGCTGCTTAGAAATGGATTGGGAGTTTCTCTTGGTCAACCAGCAGGTGTCAGCCACACTTCCATAAGAAATTCTGTTATAGAAGATATTAAAGTTATTAGAAGATTTTAAAGTGTTCAGCTGGACATAAAAAAAAAAAAAGAAATATGGATTTTTCTACTTATTATTACCTCGGGTTGTGATCACATGCATTTGTGCGCTGTGCCAAATCCGGACCCTGTCAGGGTGACACAGCAAACTGATTTTTATTTTCCATAATCAATAAGTCACTTAAACAGCAAAAAATAAAACAGCAGTCCGCATGACAGAACAAAGACGTGGGTTTTCAACTGAGCCAATAGCAGAAGTGGAGTAGTTTCGGTGCCGCCCTCCTCTGATCCCTCCTATAAGATGCGTTTCGCAACCTTGCCAACCACAAACGCTGCGTCGCAAACGCGTCTGGAGAGATCTAACAACTCTTGGGACTTAAAACCACCAGACTGTTGTCACGCTTTGAAGAAGCTGGGATTATATTTCTGATCTGCAAATATGGTTCCTGAGGAAAGTGTCGCCTCCTTCGAGAACAGGTCAGATTCTTGGTTTTGGAAACAAACTGTCTGTGCCTTCTGCAGGGACGTCCTGTTCTGGACAGGAATGTCTTACGTCCTTTGACCCTGTAGTTACCTGAGACTCTGCTGCAAGACAGAGCTGCAGATTCCGTGAAAATGAAAGCATAAGCATGAGTGCTGCAATGAAGTACATATATTTCACTTTATTATTGCAGACATTATACTCATGCATGCTGCACAAATGTTTTACTGCACAGCATGCACGATAAAATGAATCATATGTTGTAATTGTACTATCCGTTTATGTCCTCTCAGTGCTTTAACTTTTTCATAAGTTTTCTCTAAGCATTTTAATGGCTACATTTTTAATTTGGTTTCCTTCTGTGTTTAAAAGACTGGTTCTCTCTCTTAATCTTCAGGATGCAGTCTGCAAGCTTGGCACTGGAGGAGTTGCTTTTAACTGCCCAGAAACAGCACTGCCTCACCGTTGGCATCTATGAATCAGCAAAGCTGCTCAATGCGTGAGTAGAAACCATTAATTATGGCTTATCAGATGGATCTGCTCCTCTCACATTCCAGAGGGTGACAAAGCTTCAAACATGCAAGTGTTGTTTTTGTGTCTTTCCCCCCTAAAATTTCTCTTTGTTGTTCTAGAGATCCAGACAGTGTGGTCCTGTGCGTCCTAGCAGCTGACGATGAAGAGGACGTGGCACTGCAGATCCACTTCACGTTGCTGCAGTCTTTTTGCTGTGACAGTGGCATCAATATCCTGCGGGTCTCTGGGGTTCAAAGACTGTGGCAGCTTCTGGGAGGCGTGGATGCGAACCAAAACCAAGAGGAGAGCGGAGACCTGCACTGCATGCTGGTCACGGTGGGTTTATTACAACAAATTATGGGCTGTACAAGGTTCTCAAAGTTTGCCCTGCATTTTAAAATTACTCCACCTTTATAATTCAATTCAATTTAAAAGAACATATGCTGAAGAATTAGCATGAAGCCCCCCAATTGACTTTTACAGTTGAAGGAATGTTCCCTTTTTTTGATTTGATACTGTTTTGTTTTACATCCATTCAGTTTAATCAATTCATTTTAAATATTGTTGGGCAGTTTAATGGGTATATTTTCACACAACCTACCTCCCACGAGAATCTAATGCCAGCATGTGCTTTCGACAAAAATTCACTATCTTTTCACAGTGTTTTTCTCCTCTGTGAATATTTCTTACTGTCTGCAGACCAGATCTGTCTTTAATATATGACCATGTTTGAAAATCTTTTTCGTTCTTTTCATGCAGAATCTTCAAGTAGATCACTACAGACTGCAAGAAGTTGGGATGTACTGCCAAGAGAGCCGACGCCTCGACCAGTGGGTTCCTGAGCTGGTTCTGCAGGAACGTTGAAGGGTCTTTCCTGAGGAAACCTGGAGTTTCTGGATTAAACTCCTAAAAGGAACAAAGGATATTGATGCTTGTAAAGCAATAGGCTTGAGTGGACTTGCTCTCAGTGAGAAAACTGATAGTAGCAGGGACCTAAAAGGTTCTCCGGGTCGCTCTAAAACAGTTGGACATTTCTGCAGAAGATATAAAAACAGAGGAGTGGATTAAATTATCATCTCTAAACAGAAACTCTCTTATTTACCTATTTGGGCTTCTGTTTGGACAGTCTCAGTGCTCAAGGACTAGTTTATTGACTGTAACTTTTCCACACCCAGTACATACCTGGAAGATTTGTATGTTTACTATCTGGACTGACATGTTGTAATAGTGAAAGCTACTGTATAGCCAACATTCCTGAGTGTTCAGAGTAGGGAGAGTCTCCAGATAGAAGGGTTGAGTATGAAAGTGTGGTATGCATACACAATGTCTTTAGAAAAGGCTGGGTGTGCGTTTTTTGCTGAGCAGCTGAACCTGTGGAAGAGTGATCGCTATGGAAACTGAAACTGTACTGAAAGAAGACAGAGGATTTGGCCGGCTTTGCAGAACCAACAAACTGAAAAAAAACAAGGTCTCCAGACCTGATGCTTTGGGTCTGAATTCAAATCTCAGGAGGATACAGATAATCTGTATTTCTGATAAAGACTGTAACATGATGTGCCTTTTCTAATGTTGCCTATTTTCTAAAAAGATGAAATGTTCTGTTAATTTATTATTTGTATCATTTGTTCGGGTGTATTTTTGTGCAATAAGTCAATAAATTATTGGAATCATCAAGAGTACCTCTACTCAGATTTCAAAAGGAAAGTCAAGTGTGCATCATGGAACTGGCTGAGTTGTGTTTACACTGGCATTGAAGTAATGGAAAAAATGCACGCACAGTTGGGTCAAAGTCTTTGTTGACAACCTTTTCTTTTGTGTGAACGTAAGTCAGACAGAATGACACCAGGGTGGAGACTGAAACTACGTTGAAAGAAACAGGCAAAGCCAGCTGATGCAGACTTACTGTCCCTACAGGAAATTGTAAAAGCCTCCTGTCAAACCCTCAGTTTTCTCTCATTATTCTTGTTTTGTTACATATTTTTAACCTTCCTGCAATTCAATGCTGCATGCATGGAAGCACGGAAAACTGTCACTACAGTAAATGCCCTCTGCTCTACTCCCTGCCTTTTTCTTCACCCTCACATGTCTGCCCAACGCTCGGCCAGAAGGGGAACACCCAGGCACATGTAACAGACATTTGTTTACACTCTGCTACTGAGACACATAACAGGTGATGGGCTGAGTTCCAAATGGCTGTGATTCACCCACACCCCAAACCTCATTCCCCACAAATCAGACTGATCAGGAGGAAGCATGATTTAAAATTTAAAAGAAGCTTTCATTGTTGAACCACAGATTTGAAAAGCTTAGATGAGACCTAGAAGCCTATGTAAAGATCTAGTGGAAGCTTTTTCCTTGCTAAATTTGGCACATTAAAATTTCATCTCTGCTCTGCACACAGTGTACTTGTTAATCTGGTGGATTTTTGTCTTCAAGTGGTTTATTAATTTATGCAGTCTGCAGGAAAAAAAAAAAAACTATTCTGCTTAGACACATGCACAAAAATAAAACTTGATGGGCTGGATGCATGTGTAATCAGCAGCTGTTAACACACGAGTCAAGCAACAGGTTGTGTAATCATATCTTTTTTAATGTTATCTACTTCTCAATATTTTTTAACAGCAATATCCACAAAATATTAACAGTGTGCAAGAAAACATGAGTTATGGCACATTAGAGAACAGTTACAAAAAATATATATATTTTTTTCATAATCAAGGCAAAAGGATACATATACTGTATGCATACACTGGAGATCAGAACGCAAAAAAATGAGTCTCAGATGGCACGCCGAGCCCACTGAGTGATGTTTGATATGACAGTTGACCAGTGAAGAGCCTAAAACTCTCCTCAATGGGACCAAAAATGAATTTTGTCGAGCTCACTTAGTGAATTCACAGTGAGCCATATGCTTCACTTCAGGACTGTTTGTTCTGTTGATCCATGACCAGCAATAACACAATATACGCCACTATAAGGCAAAGTAACAACTAATCAATCAGACAAACTGTCGGCAAAATCAGCAATTCAGCCTGACTGTCTTTGATTGTAGCCCAGGAAGAGATGGAATGACTGAGAAAAAGTGTATAAAAACAAAAAGGTCAGACATTTTTAGGGCAACAGTGTGTGCGCTGACATGATATGCATGCACATTTTACATTTGAGTATACTTCTCTAGCTTTAACCCTCCTCAATACCGGTTTACAAAATGAAATATAAGAAATATGAATAAATTGTTACAAATTGTTTTTTGTCGTTTCATTAATCGAACCAGAATATGAGTTCTTTTCACATGTCTGTAATTGCTGATCTTTTGCCACAAGTTTCTCCATCTTCCTTTCATTAAACAGTATTTAAGTTGAGCATTAACATTGATTTAAGGATTTGAAACAATAACTGAAAAGTTTTATAAGCATATTTAGCATATTTAAAAATATAGAACCAAACATTTATTCCTACAGCTATGTCCGTTATCCGTTTGTCACAATTAGTTTAGGCATGTTAGATTTCAGAACAAAAACAAAGGTGTAAACCTGTAACAGAAAAATCATCCCACTAGCCCTTCTAAAGCTCGTACATTTCTAGAGCAGAAAAGTTGAGAGCAATATAAAGCATTTTATTTAAGAAAACAAAAATGGGAGATTTTGTTATAGTTGTATTCAAACTAAGATAACCAGCTGATGGGCCAATGCTCAGGTTTAAGAGATATTTCATTAACATGTTCAAAAGAACCTTGACTTACTCTTTCATAAACCCAAAGAAGCAAAATTATCAATGTTACAGCTCTTTAATAGTTCTATCAAACTTTATTGACTTATATTCAATTTTGAAATGTAGTTTTCAAAAGGAAAAAAATAGCCTAAGTTTATCAATTGAAGCTGTTAGCAATGCAAACTTGTTTTCTTTTTTTTTTACACATGTGCTCCACTTATCCTAAAGTTAGCACACTTTCATAAATAAGTGGATGTTAATTCTGCATATTTTTTTTTCCGTCTTAAAAGTAGAGGCTCACTCTTAGACCAGTTTACGTAGGAAAACCGGAAGGATTTGCTCTGGTTGTGGTGCAAACTGATGTGAGCAATACAGGCAGGTAATGTTTTTTAAATGCTAATTGAACATGTTCACTAATTGAGGTCAGTTTTTCGCCTCTGGTTTATCGCAATAAAAACCGTCTGAATTGTAGTAATAATAGTTAGCCCCACCCACTTTCATTGTTTGCAGTTAGCTAGGGATATTGTCTCTTTTTAGCTGTCACATCCTTCATAACAGGTTAAATTAGGCAGTAATGGTTTAAATTTCCTGAAGCCTTTTTATATAACTAAATTAGGATACTGTATATATTACAGGCTAGTCCAGCCCTATAGTGTATTTTGCTTCTTTCTATAGCAGAAAATATTTCATATAGCAGACAGCAACCCTAGCTGCAACAGTAAAATATTAAGACATTGAACTTGAAAGTCTCAGAGTATTTACAACTGGAAAACCCTGAAACCTGATTGTACTGAGAGTACAAACATTATACTATATAATGCTATGATTATAGTATAACACAGTTGCCACAGCACATGACTTCTCCCCTTGTCACACTAACCCTGACCTAGAACTGAAGGACCACAGGTTTGCAACACCATCATGCTAAATGAAACTCAGCAGAACTGGAGACATTGTGCGCTCATAGTCTTAGCATTTTCCCTAGAAATGCAAAAGAGAAAAAAAAACACCAAGAGAACCCCTCCTCACATGAACACACACGCTATCCTTCATACACTGTCACCCTGAGGTTGTATTTTTAGTGTTCAATATCAGAATTTAGCATTGCTGATTAAAATCTCCTACACAGTCTGGCTTCTGTAAGCAAAGCCCACTTTTATACACTTCTAGGTGTATCATTGATATGAGTACAATACATGCATGAGGAACCATAGGATAGAGGAATCTCTCTCAGTCTTCAAACGTCAGCAGCACAACAGGCCAATCTACTGTTACAGTGTAACTGACCTGAGCATCATGATCTGTAGCCCAACTCTCAAAAAATATAATATTGTGCAAATCAACTTTCCTATTTTTGTAGTTTAGCAAAAATGAATCTTCAGTCTTTTTTGTATTCGTGCTTTTAGTATCAACCCTCTCAGCATAAAAAGGACCAGAAAAGGAAATTGTATATCTATAAAATATGTGTTTCTTGTTGCCCCAAAAATGTCCTGTTTAAGAGAAAAGGAAGGCTAAGGAGGTTAGTTGTTTCCCACTGAAATGAGGTCTGATGTTGATTGATCCTTTTTAAAGACTCAATCTGTAGCACTCCATAATTGTGTTAGATTTCTTTGATCTAACCTTGACTTCTGTTATTTTGTTTTTAGCTATGGCTAAAACCAACCTCCACAGTCGCAAGCCTTTAAAAACTGAAAGAAAAATAAAAAGAGACATGATGTTGACTGACAAAAGGAAAGAAGCAGTGTTAAAAAATTTAACATCCACAGATGGGGGAAATTCTGTGTTTAGATTTTTGTATCTTACAAACACTGTACAGGGTAGTAATACTCAACTGATCAGCTTTCATGGACTCCATAGAAAGAAGGTAACATAAAAAATAAAACTGCAAAACAGCTACTCTTCAACTTATCACTTCTGCACGTCTAAAAGAAAGTTTTTACACTAAGTTTGTTTCCCTTAATGCCATTTTCTTTCTTTTTCATTTTCAGTTTTTACAATCATGTTTGGTTTTTAGATTGGAGCAGTGTTGTGGAGGAGCAGAGGACACAGAAAGGGGGAAACCAAGATTAATCCCGTCTGTCGCAAAATTGCATTAAATAAAAATCCTTTGCTGTTTTGACTGGATTTGAAGCTACGGATGCAATATTTTTCTATTCAGATACATCTCTATCTTGTTAAATCATTCTCTAAATGTATGAATAAGCTCAAGGAAAAAACAAAACAATCAATAAGAGCTGAAAATCTTCTATATAAAAGTAAAAATTATTTTTCTTTAGGTGCAGATTGATTCTCCAGTGTTGTCAGTCTGTGGCCTTGCTCCAACTTAAATTAAAGCACAAGAAGGTTTGATATACAATAGAGACTTTAAGATCCCATACGGTTAGACCCCTGATTTAAATCTGGTCAGCCAAGGGTACCGCCTTGTATCCGTCAAAGTAAAAGAATAAAAAAAAATGTACAGTATCGTCTTAAACGTTAAGGAATGCTTTAACAAAATACCTAAACAAACACTGAGTTCACAAACAAGTACTTCTTGATAAAAAAAAAAAAAAAAGTAGTAAACGTCCATGGTTAATAGCTTGAGTTCTTTGTAGAGCTGTTCACTGCGTTCCTCTGGTTGGTGCAGATCTGAAGTCCGCTAAGACATCAATGTTGACCAACAGCAGCTATCACAAGCCAGCAGTGGAACCAGCGACAGCAAATCAGCATCTAGAGACAGGTTTTTGTACAGGTTGGCACAGCTAGAGGCTTGGCCAAAATAGGCTGGAGGCAGCCACACAGAGGCTGCAGGCGGAGAAGAGGTCTGTTGATACGGATTCAAGAGGGGAACATGCTGTGGTCTGACCAAATCAAAGACTCTAGCTAAAGACAAAGCTCTCGGATTGTCTTTTTTTTCTTTCTTTTTTTAAGTTTCCGCAGAAAAATAAGCATTTATTGGGCTTTTCAATGCGACACTGTGTCGTGTTTGGCACGGTTGGCTTTGCGCCTACCACTCATTTGTGTTTCCCACATGCTTCTTCCCACTGCCTGCCTGTGTAGCAGCTGCCCATCGTTTACCCAACACCTCGCTTCATGACCAGTGATGGAAAAGAAACAGCTTTTTACTGACTGTTAAGGTCAAAAATCCTTTTTTATGATAAACAGTTCTTAATTCACCAGCATATGGGGATAATACCAAAGCACCTTGGACCATACTCTGTATCTAACTGATATCACACTGTAAGGGGCAAGATACCTGCCCCCTACTGGTGGTTCTGGGTTGTGGCACTGTTTCAAAGTTGCTAAATTTATAGTGATTGAATTTGTAGCCCTAAAATGTCAGATAGGGTTTCTTGATATCTGAGAGAGTGTAGGGACTGATTTTTATTGTAAATGCTAACTTTCATGTGTAAGCCTATGTTAATAGGTGCATCTGTTTTATGTATGTGTGTATGTATTCGTGTTTGTCTGTATGTCTTTGAGAGCTAAAAAGCAGCTATGGAGCTATAGGATGATGCAAGGTTTCTTGTCCTTGAAAGGGTTTTCAGAGGTGGGCACGCCAACCAGCAGTGGGTCGCTACGAGCGTGTTGCTCACAGTAACTCATCAGGTCCGCTGCTGCTTTAGACACCTGGGAGGATGAAAAAAGGAATCAGGTGTTCATAAAAAGAGAGCAAGAAAGATATCCTATGATTTTAGTGTGAAGAAAATTATATAGTGATGCAGTACAAACCATTAAGGAAAGAAGGGAGAATTTATTCAATCAAACTTTAAGATTGTTAGATGGTCACTTCCTTATTGACTGTGTTGATTTGTTTGTTTTCATCTTTTAAGATGTTATTTGGAGACTTGAATAATTTCAGTTTTTCACAAGGGGGTTAAAATACGGAGCAAAATGATACACACTGCTGGTTAGGGTGGAAACTGAAATGTATGGACCATAAATAATAACCTGCTACGTTCAGAGCGCACGTGATAGAAGCAGCAAAAAAGCACCTGCTGCTTCATTGTTGATACTTTTACACAATAAGGTCAGACGGGCCTCAAAAGCATCTTTGATGGTCCTAAAGCGCATCCAGTAAAGTGAGCACAGATGCGTCCGATGCTTCCGCTGCTCCTGTGTTCAATGGCAGAGAGTGGCTCTGCTATATTTGCTGTGATACGTTGGCAAAAAGTTGTTTTAATATGTTTATGAGTCAGAATGTCAACCTCAAAGAAATCATCTATGCAGTCAGTTCATCAAGATTACGATCCTGCCTTAAAATATTATTTCTCTGTCAGACCAGCTCTGAACCCCAGTACAATGGCGGTGCGCTGTCACTGAAAATCCCCTTCAACAGCAGCCTCTGGCCCTGTCGCCTCATGGGGGATTTCTGCTACTGTTCGCGGCGGCTGGAACGGAATGTCAGCGCACTAGAATAATAAAAGCAAACAAATTTTGCAGGCAGGTTTTGACATTTTAGGTTAGTTTACGAATTAATAAACTGTTTCAGCGGAGTGATCATAGTATTTTGCATCAGCAGTGCTGTATCTGTCTCCCAGCCAGCTCCCAGATCAGCTTCTCTGATTGGGTGATGTGGTGCGTCAAGCAGCACAAGTTACATTTTTCCAGCTCCTGCTGCTCTAGATGCGCTGCAGGACCTTTTGATGTGCCTTGAGGCACGTCAACCATTGACTTTGCATGTAAACCAGCTGCTTCTGCTGATTCAGTAGTGTGTTCTGAACGTCGTATCAGAGTTGACATTGGTTAGTCTAATTAAAGTTATAATCCATCAATGATATTATTATGCAGCACTGGAAAAGAAGAACAGCTTGAATGGAACCTATAATTGGAGATACAAACTGGCCTTATCGGCATCAAAATGAAAAGAAAACATGTACCTGTATAATTTATTTACACATTTTAGTCAAATTTATAATTTTGTGGAACAACTAGGTTTGTTTTATTGTTATTTTATATTTATTATAAGTGGGGGGAAAAAAACAACCGAGCTGCATTATTACGACATAGTTGGAAGAGAGATGCATTCAAAACAGAAATCAGAGAGTTGAAATATGCAAACAAAGAAAGCGAATGAACAACTAGTTTACCTTAATGCGTTCAAACCCTGCCTCAATCCTCAGCTGCTCCACCAGTTTCCTGGCCTGGGCGATATTATTAGAAGTGGACATATTCATCCATCAGAAGACACCAACAAAGGAGAAAACTGCAAGAAGACAAAGAGATGCAAAAATGCTTTTAAAAGGAAAACTCTCGTCCTGCTGTGGCTTACATTTCTTAGAGAGGCTCATAAAAGAATATCGACAGGATGAAAGCAACAAGGTTCAAGCTTAGCATAAAATATGCAAGGCATTTTATGCAATCTCACAAGGGGGGCCTGGTCGGGGCTTTTTCATCAGGGTACAGAAAAAAAAGTTTAAAAGCTGGAAAGTGGTTCAATCATTTGATACATTTAGGGAACATCAAAACCAACAAACCTTTTTCCATTTGATGAAGGGAAATGTCCATACCATATAGTTAATTTAAAAGTTTACGTTGTTTCAACTGAACATTCTGTCTGAAACTGTTAGTTAGTAAACCCTTATCATGGGGAAGAAAAAATAATCTGAAATACATATTCTGGTAAACGAATTTACTTTAAATTAAGTCAGTTTGTATGACCACATTATGTAACTTATGTTTGTGGTGAATGGCACCTCAATGGCTGACCTGATGATAGGTGTGACCAGCGATGTGACACCATCAGCATGCTGATGATGATGCTGTTACAAAAAAATTATGTGCTCGGCTCTATATTTGATTAATATAGTAATCTGGTTTACTGCCTGCAGAATGTGTGTCTATTGGAAGGAAACGTTAATTATGAGATGCTTACATTTCTTTTAATACTAAATTTTGTTTGAATACTTTTACTTCATCTACTTAGCTTTAAACTCACAAAAACCTCATTGTTTTTTTAATCAGTGTTTTATAAGCATCAAACAAAGACATCCAACACCTTACATTGTCCTCTTGCTTTTTTTTAGGTAAGGTTTTTGACTTTTGAGTTATTGCACCTCTCTTATTATCCATCTAAGACACAATGTTGGTTTTAGGGTGGATAATGGAGGGAATGATGTGGGGTACAAGGAGGGAAGAATTGATGTATTGAAAGATGGTAGATGGAAATGAAAATTGGAAATATTTAAGAAATACGGAAGCAATATAAA